TGATTAAAAAAGTGACGACCCCAGCCGCGCCCACTTATAGTTTTTAAGTCATTTGTTGTTAAAGTTGCGAAATTCACAAAATATGTTGATGCAAATTGCATCGATTTTATCATCCAAAAGTGCTTCAAATAGATAAATGTGACTTAAATGAAAACACTTTTCAGTAATATGCTATTTTTGCTAATTTAACCACGATAAAACATTTACAAAAGTAGTGAAGTAGTAAACATGCGAGGGTTGCAACTGAACACCGAAGTTGGTGCTGCCAGACGATTTATCATCACAATATTTACTTGCGTCTACAGTATTTTTGCGTAGAATTCCTTTCCGCGTAGGCGGCTTTCGGCCGCGCTTTAGGATTATAACCCTTACCGAATATAATTCTCCTTTTGGTGTGAACCAACTGGGGGTACCGCCCCAGTGATGTAGCCTCGGGAAAGGGTGAGGTAACTAGAATTCCCTTTCTGTGTGGTAAACCTGGGGCTGCCGCCCCAGTGATGTCTATTATGATTACTTTAAGAGAAGGTGATGCCAATAACAATAAATTAAAATAACAAAATCTTTCTAATACAAAACTCATTTACGCAAAAAGAAGTTCTACCCTTCTTCTTCGGCAACACCGTTTAGGTCGGCGAAGTATCTCAAAAGTTGTTCGTCCATAGGGCTACATCTGCTACGAATTCTTCTCCTCAGGGCTGGCATCGAGTCAAACCCAGGGCCAGAAACCTTCACCTGCTGTGTATGCCAGAGGCGACTACACCACAACTCCACCTCAGTCACGTGCAATGCTTCCAAGGGGTGGAGTCACCTCAGAGTCTGCTCAGGACTACGGACACATCGGCAGTGGGCCACATCCTTTGTGGCCCCCTGCTGCTCAAACAGAGCAGCCTCCACGGCTAACCCCAGTGCACCTGACCAGCTCAACACACACACCACAGCACCACAACATAACAATACAATAGAACACCACAACCACGACAGACCACATAACAGACACAATCGCACCACCACCCACACGCCGCCGCCAACAACTCCTGGTTCCTCCTACAATCTGCACGGTATGTCAGACCAGGATATTCCGTAATGTGACCTCAGTCAAGTGCAACACCTGCCTTGGTTGGTGCCACTTTAGGGCATGATCAGGTCTGCGCACCATGGACGAGGAACTTCGAGGGCCCATGTTGCGCTGCTCCGTCGCATACCCCTTACTGCGACGCCACCCCCTACCACCACAGGGCGGCAACCTCCACAGCG